CGGGGACCCACGAACCGGCCCTCTCACCTGCACCCCTCTCTCCTGCAGCAGCCGTGGCCCAGCGAAACAAGGGCGCTGCCCCCAAAACCGGCCACCCCAAGAAGCCAGTGGAGGAGCCGACAGCGAGGGGACCCGACGTGGACTCGCTGGGCTTCCAGGCCATGGACAGCAACGTGCCGGGGCTGTCCCACGTCATCCTCCAGAAGCTCAACATGAAGAGCTACGAGGATTACAAGTGAGTGAGCACCCGGGGGTGCGTGTTTCCCCCCCTGGCCAGAGCATCCCATGTGTCCCCAGCCAACTGGAGCATCTCCCCGGCTCATCCCACCCTCCCGGCTCACCCACACGCAGGGTGCTCCGACAGGGCTCCTGGGTGCGCCCCTCCACCAGCCCCTTCCCTGCTCCCCACCCTCAGCCGGCCTGGGCCAGGATGCTCTTGGCTGGAGCCCAAATCCTGGCAGCCGTGGAAGGAGGACATCAGCCCCACCGTGACGGCGACGCAGCGTGGGCTGGGTCCTGCTCACCCTCTCCCTGACGTCTGCAGGTCTGCCATGGATGGGAGAAAGAGCGGCAGCGATTTTGGCATCCGGACTTACTTTGACATGTTCCAGAAGATGGAGGACACCTTCAAATTTTGCGCCGAGTGCAAGAAGCTCCCCGATGCCCTCCCTGACCCCAAAAGCCTCCGGCGATGCAAGAGGTAAGGGGGGTGGGGTGTGTGTCTGAAGGCATGGGGCTAGATCCATCCTCTTGCTCACAGCCCTGTGGCCGGGGTGAAGCTGGGGGTGTCTGGCCCCAATGCCCACCTCCAGCCACATGCACCCCCAAAGCAGCGACGCAGCCCTGGGAGGCGGTGGCAGGGAGCCAGGCACGGCGGGGCCGGACCCGTCCTCCCCCCCCCCCCCCCCCCGCCGAAGCAGGGTCGCCTACAGCAGGCTGCACAGGACCTTGTCCAGGCGGGTCTTGAATATCTCCAGAGAAGGAGACTCCACAACCTCCCTGGGCAGCC